TTTAGAGCTTGAAAATCGCCTCCCACCGAGAGGCTCCCAGTCAGGGAGAGGAGGAGATGCGTGCAGCATGAAGAGCGCAAATATGAGATAAAACGTATAATTGCCGGCAGGTCTGGTCTTTGTTGACTGATCACTTTGTCTGGTCATGACTGACTCTGATTATGAAGCAGAATATTGACTCTGATGAAGAAATTCACTCATCCAGCCGGGAAGATTGATGCTGCTGCAGCATCAGACAGCTGGTGCTGCACGAGAGGTGTGTGGAGTTTACAAGCTCCAAACGTTGGGTTTGATGTTGGTTTAACCTTCTCTGGGACGTGATGGATGTAGAAATGATGATAAAACACCGCTAATGTGACAGGCGTAGCGACAATGTAAAAAAAAAAAAGCCGTAAAAAAGGGGCAGATACCGATGCGTTCCATATGGAAGTCAAAGAGTGCCACATAATCATAAAAAAAGTAAAATATAAAATTTAAAAAGAGATTTATGTATGTATATATAAATTAAAACTTTCCAAATATAATGAAAATCTATAAATAATGTAAAAATAGGAAGGAACATCTGTTGGACAGGCTGAAAGGTTTGGGAACTACTGCTCTAAGTGATAAGTGAATATTGTTTCTTATTATATTTTTGTCACGTTATGGAGGATGGTTCGGACCCAAAATGCAGATACCTAGGATGACACGAGGCAGGAGTAGATAAAGAAAATTCCTTTTATTTTAGGATGAACCCAAAACGAACATAATAACCAAAAGGGGCAGGAAGCCAAAGTCCAAAAATGCAGGGGATGATCAGGAGATCCAAAAACACTAAAGGAATGAGCAGGACTGACAGAATAAGTCACACTGACAGCAACAATGTACCAACAAGAACAATGAAACAAGACAGGGCTAAATACACTGGGAAGAGCAATTAGGGAAACAAGGAGCAGGTGTGTGGAGTGAGGCTGGAGGGAAGGCAGGTGACAACAATTATCTGAATGGGGAAGAGAACCAGTGGAGGGCAGATTAACCTAAAAAAAACTCTAAAACACAAAACTAAACCTAAAGGCTGCGGGAAGGATTAACACACACACACCATCACTCACACAAATGCACTAATATAACAGGAATGGGGAATGGACAAGCACACACACCACACACACACACACACACACACACACACACACACACACACAATGAACTGGGGAATGGACACACACCCACACACAGCTGGGGACAAAGAGGCTGGAGCTGCAACTTGGGGCACAGAGGATAACTAAATGAACACTGGCCCTGAGGGGATGATAAAAAGGTCTACAAACAGAACACACCTTATAGCGACGCAGACATGACACATGAGGGTGCTAGAGGACAACAAAAGGAGCACCTAGAGAACAAATGGAGGACAAAAGGAGACACATGAGATGAGATGCAGACACAGACTATGGCAATTTTATGTGCAGTTTTTTAGGGCTTTTATGGCTTTTATGTTTTCTGTAAATGAAAATCAGTTAATTTTTTGCATAAAGCATGAGGTTTTGGTTAGTAATCGATTGGGAGAATAACAAATGACTGAATTAAATAGTGGAGCGCCTCTGTCAGTGCGCCCCAGGGCAGCTGTGGCTACATCGTAGCTTATCACCATCAGTATGTGAATGTGTGTGAATGAATGAATGATACACTGTAGTGTAAAGCACTTTGGAGTCCTTACTATAAGAGGCGCTATACAAGTGCTGATCATTTATCATTTATAGTGTTGATCAGGCAGATTTGTTGCCAGCCTTCCATTTCATAATGGCTTCAAACACGTATATAAAAGTGTTAGTTTTTACGTAAACCATTGGATGAAATTACACAAACTGTTGGGGGGGGGGCTCAAAGGGGGCCTCGCCCGGGGAGTAATTCCATGTAGAACCACCACTGCAAGAGTGACTATAATCTGAAATAATAATAAAAAGATGTGTTTTTGATGTTCTACAGCTTTAAGGTCATAAAAGCTATGTATTTTGCAACAAAAGTCCACAAATGTGTTAACACAAGGTGCAGCAGTCTTTTAGCCTTTACTGCAGTAGTGTGTGCAGGAGTCACCTTATTTAAATCCTTCACAATAAAAGCACCAACTTATATAAAATGTCTTCAGAAATTTATTGAACAAGGCTATTTTGAATTATTGTTCTTTATCTTTAAATTTATTCTGACTATTTAGCCGTTTAGTCCCTCAGACAGCAAATTACAGTAATTTTATTTTTTTCTTATTAATTGTTTTTAAAATATAGATAAACCCAAATATAACGGTCTGTGACTTGCGCAAGTGTGAGAAGTCTTGATTTAAATGTGAGCAGGGCGCGTGCTGCGTCACGCGACCGAACCGAACCGGGATCAAGAGTTTCTGAGCTGAGGCTGGAAACTTCGGGAAGAAGTAGGAGTCGGTGGGTGACGCTGAGGGGATGAAGCGGACCTCCTTCTCCGCTGCCTGCCACGTCTCTGAGCTCGGCGGAGTCCACTTCCTCCTTCCCCCATGTTGCTGCTGCTCGAGGTCGGGACTCAGGGGGAGAACGAGAAGAAGAATCAGAGAGAACGTAAGTCAATTAATTGCTTTAGTTAGCAGATTTAAACCGGATAGGCTCATCTACTCATCGCTCGTTGCAGACACATACACATGTTATAGTGAGTCATCCCCTTTTTATGAGGCGCTGCTCATGTAGGAATTAACAGAAGAGAGCCTTTACAGGGCTTTATCTCTAATATTATTACACATACGGAACTGCTGTAAAGTTAGTTTGAAGTTGGACGCTGGATATTCGACAGACATTGGTTCCCACGATACGTCTTCATGCAAGTCATTATTAGGATTTTTATCATAAATTAATGGATTTTTTTTGAATAGCTCCTAGGTAAATTAGTCAAAATGCCCTAAACCAGGGATTTCCAAAGTGTGGTGCGCGCACCCCCAGGGGTGCGCGAGCTGCCGCTAGGGGGATGCGCGAGGTGAAAAGTGTAATGGTTGCGGAGCTCAGAGAAGTCTGTCATATGTCACCATTAGCGTAGCCAGAAACTCATTTGTGGGTGGGCCTAAGAAAAAGTAAGTGGGCCCAATAAATGTAATTGAAAACAAGTATATTTTTGCGCGCACGTGTGTGTGTCCTCCGCATGTGCCCTAGCTTCATAATAACAATGCGCCGAGCTTCAGCACTCTGGCCAGCGCACGCCGATATGTTTCGTATTTGATCATTTTTAACGGTGTTGGAGAAATCTGAAGGTGAGTCATTCTGGCAGATTGTAATTAACACCCTGTCTCATGCAGGTGTTCTGACATTGTAAACCTCACACACAGAACATTGTGGATGTAATTAAATAAATCAAGAAATGATTCCCATTCAGGCTATTGACAGCGCGCTGAAGATCTGAAGTTCAGAGTGTCAGAGATCAGACGCGCTCCAGCGGAACCACGGCTCACGGGTGCACAAGTGAGCTCATCTGGGCTGGGCAGAAGTACTTTTACAACATTGGTTTAAATAGCGCCAATAACGAGACGCAGTGACTGGAGCGGCTCATGGAGCTGTGCCGCGCGCGCGCACGCACACACACACTCAATAAGCGCGCACGCTGCGCAAACTTCGGCGTGCCGTCAGACTGAAGAGCTCTGCCTCCACTGAGATAAAAACTTTTAAGAGGTTTTATAACAACATTTTTCATTCAAGGTCAAATTAAGATATTAGCTTCTATTTTGGGATAACGTATTAAAGTCGAGTCCACTCCAGCCAGTGACTCTGAACCTGAACTCATGTTACTGCAGCATTTGTTATTCCAGTCCGCGTGGCAGCGGATCGCACATTCAGCCACCATAAAACAGCAATAAGTCTGTCTGAGGCAAAAGTGAACCTCATGGTTTTTCCATCTTTTCCCCTATTGACATTTGATTACGCACAAGTAGGTGATCAGCTCAGGTTTACGCAGAGCAGAAGGAAGGAGAATGCTCTGGCCGCACAGGTTAAACGTTCCTACTTTAAGAAAACCGTTAAATTGCATTGTTTATGTGCTACCTGGGCACTCTAAATATTTATTAAAAATTAAATCAAAGGAAATTGTATCGAATGCTTATTAATTACTATTTAAAAAATGAAAGTGATAGGGAAAAAGGTCGATCATATTTTTTAACCCTGTCTCTTTACCTTGACGCCTGATATATATATATATATAGAGCCATGCCCTGATGTGGGGGCTGGGGGGTGCGTCGACATGGTCGGGACATAGAAGGGGGTGCGCGGCTAAATAAGTTTGGGAACCACTGCCCTAAACTATTTCTCAATGGTTAGTGTTACTAAGCTAGACCAATGAGACACAGCAGTTTTTATCTCACTTCACAAGATCAGACCTTTTTATTAGGATTTTTTCTATCAAAAATTAAGTGATTTCTTTCAATAGCTCCTAGGTTAATTGACTCTAATACTCAAAACCATTTCTCAGTGATGTCACTGATGAAGACAAATGAGACACAGCAGTTTACATAACATTTCACAAGATCCAACTTTTTTTTTTTAGGAATTTTGTCAAAGGATGAAAAGCTAAGGCTGATCCCACTTCACCTTATGTAATATGAAAGCTGCAAATGTCTTCGTCTGCATCTTGGGTGAGGTCATGCACTGGGCGGGGACATCTTAAACATCCATCCTCAGGCAAATTGTTGTCTCTCTCTCCCAACAGTTGAGCCAAAAGTTAAGTTGGGCCCTTGCTTCTGGAGGACATAAAAGAAATACACAATTACCATTTCAGCTTGAAATAAAGACAAATACCATGGACCTTGCCGTTGAAGACTAAAAAGACCATCAGAGACCAGATGCTGCTCAAGAACTCCAAGGACTCCAAACTCACCTCGCCCATTGTGCTGACCAGAGCCTTGGTGGCAGTGATGTTTGCCTTTGTGAAATACTAAAACATAAACCCCATGATGGCACATGACTAGATTCAAGATAATTCGGCCTTGTCACTTACTGATAACAAGGTTCACCTTGAACATGAGTCCAACTGAAATTAAATGGATTGTGTACCAATGTGATTGACTATGACTCGATATCAAGCCAGGTGGTGACGAGGGACGTCCTGATTGAGAAGGGTTACCATCGATGAGATCCCCACTCCAAGGCAGGAGGAATAAGAGCATGCCACCTAAGAATTTGTTGGAGGAGAGGTTTGATTGAGGTCAAAGATTTTAATTGCAATGGCCTGAAGCTACATTGCTAAGCATTGAGAAATGGTTTTGCGTTTTTAGAGCAATTACCTTAAGAGCTATTGAAATAAATCAAATTTTTTGACAAACATTCCAATAAAAATGATCAGAGCTTGTGAAATGTGAAAACAACTCAGGGTTTTTCCTGGCTCAAATTGAGGCAGAGGTGGTACCATCCTGACCACGCGCCAGCACAGAAAAAGGCTCAATAATATGCATTAGATTGGTCTTTAGTTCCCTTTTTCCAATCTGATATTTATAGTTAAAATATTTTTAAATATTTGACCTATATTTCAGTAACATTTTAGATTTGTATTAATAACACTCATCTTAGTCAAAATAACACATAAATATATCCAGTAAAATATAATGCATTTCATTAACATGCATTTGTATTGGAAATGGTAATAACATTTAATTTCTGCTGCTAACAATGTAACGGTGGCATGTCTATTATGTACGGCTTGGCAATAATCCGGTTTGAATTATGTTCAAAGATAGAAGCGTTTATGGGTTATATACTACAACGGCTTGCTATACTTCCTGCTCCTGTGTGTGGAGCAGTGATGTGACTCGTATCTGCAGCGGTTCTGATCCATAGCGCTGCAGGATGCAGAATAAACAGGATGGTGGGACTTTTCATCCACTTGTAGAGTTTAGTTCTTTCTTAGTTTTACGATCATCATATATTTTTCTGTGCACCACTTGATCGTGAGACTGCTACCCGTTAGCTTTAGCATTAGCCAATCTGCGTGTAGCTGCACTTTTGATCCCAAACTTTGGACCGGTTCTGCCTTTGTGCCTTTGCTGGTTCCTTTATTTTCCTCCACTGCATCCAGATGACCACACTGTGCACCAGTAAAAAGCATTTTTCTTACACATAACTTACTTTTGTTCAATAAAGTTCTGGGGGAAATAGTAATTCAAAGATGTTGCACCAGTGCTACGTTTAAAAATAGGCACGCACAGACTGTTGTTTTCATCGCACTGTACAGCCCTGCTCGGATATGGAAGGGCCTGGGGGAAAATCAGGATGTCAAGAGCACCAACCATAGATATGTAGCAACTAGCGAGAAAAGCAATTTTTGATCTTTTTCTGCAGCGGTTTTAGCGCTTTTCGTTTCACCGCTGCTGATACAGCTCCTATGTAGTGACGCAATGCTTACTCCTCAAATGCAGATGTGAACAGTTGTTATGTCCTCCTCCAGGTCCACCATGCTGTCCAAACTCCACATCTGTCTCCTAGTTGTTCCACAAGTTCTCTTTTTGCAAGGCCTCTGATTAATCTCAGAGTCCAGATGGCAGCCCCACGCCTCACCCACCACCTCCTCTGAGTGCGCCCACCTGGGCTCTGGGTCTACCAGGCTCTCCGCTCTGAGTCCAGCTCTGTCAACACGCTCATCTCCTCTCTCCTTCTGGCCTCTCTTGCAGCTCTGGGTGAAGGATCGTTAGGTCAAACCACCACCCAGATCCAAGGTCTCCTCAAGCCCGTGACCCCTCCTTCCAAAGTAGGGGACCTTCTTTCAGAGGCGTTGAAAAGCTTCACCGAAGCTAACGGGACCAGCTTTCAGGTGCACACATCTTCTGGTGTGTTTACGAAGCAGGGTCCTGCCATCAGTCAGGCCTTCACCAAGCAGAGCCAGACCAGGTTCAGACTGCAGAACCAGGCTCTGGGAAAAGGAGACTTCAAGGCTGACCCGAAGCAGCTCCAAGCCTGGGCCACAGCTACCCACCGTGGGCTGGAGGGAGCGCCTTTATTGGCAGACATCAAGGCTAAAGCTGGAGCAATGATCCTGGCTAATGCCCTTCACTTTAAAGGTTTGTTGAAACACGAAAGTGCAAATCAACTATGGTGTTTCCCTAGACTAGTCCTGCACAGCACATCTGGAATACTAAATATTAAAAGTCAGAGATCAATTAAACTTGTGTCATTTAAACATCAGTCCAAATATGCTGCTGATCACATATTTCATTATTGGATGAAATAATTAATTTAAATGCTAATCAAAGAGAGAGAGTCTGGATGTGTTTTTCTCTCCAGTTTTAGGCACAGTAACATCTGCCTGAAGGTAAATCATCAAATTCAGGGAACGAGATGTGTGAGGGGTCATAAAGGACCAGTTTAGTTTTTGAGGTGTTTTTATTTTATTTTTTTTAAACAGCCAGTGTTTCATTAGCAGGTGGGCGGAATATGACTTGAGGGACAAAAACAAAACTTTAAATGCAGCTGTGAAAAAAACAGGATCTCTTGAGTAAAGTTGGATCAAACCTTTAAGCCAGTTTATAGCAACGTTCTTGACTAAAACAGGAGTTGAAATCGATGAAAATAAAGTTAAAAAAGGAAATTAAAGATTAGATTGTACACAAGTGTTTGTCCAATTGACCTGTTGTGTTTAATGTGGTAACAATCGTTTCATGGATGGATGGACAACAAATGTTAGCTAGCTTGTGTTGACCATACAAGTGGCAGTCACTGCATGCGTTTAGATCACATGTGATAAATATTGAAGGTAGCTTGTTGTGTACATTTTGGACATTGTTGGTGTGTTTTGCCCTCCTTTGTCTATTTTTACATCTGCTGACTTTTTGAAATGCAATAAACACTCGACTTTAGCTTTTGTTGGGGAAGGAAGGGTCCATGGGTGAGTAATCACAGTCGATGTTATTGTAGCGGTCCGAGTGGTTCACACAACCTCACATGATTTTCTATGTTAGGCTCAGCTGAAACATCAGGATTTTTTAATTCTCAGGATTTTCAAAACATGAGACCACACATGTGGTGACAACAAACTACAGCTATGCCAGTTTTGGTCCTAATGGGTGTGGTGGGAAAATACTACCACATGGAAAATACCACACAGGAACTGATTTCAAACACATGGGCAGACGGGAAATCTCTGAAGCTCACATGTGACTATGGAGTAAAAAAAATATGGTGGAGGGGGAGCATGCAGCACATCTCCATCACCTCGCTTTTTAATTGGCTCCACATCACATTTAACTGGCGGCACATTCAGACTAAGGCATGACAACGTATTTGATCTCCCCAATTTGTGATCAGAGCAGTTCCAATTTAATTCCAAGTGCTATTCAGATCGTTCCTAACAAACCACACATGGTAGGATTATCTGATAAGATAATCTTTAGTGCCGTTACGGTAATCAGGACGTGTCCTGGACATGTCAAAAGGGGAGTCAAAGGCCCAAATTGCCTGATGATTCTCATAAATAAATAAATAGATCTTTTCTGTAATGTGGACTTATCTTTTGGGCAGACATCCAGTTACATAATAGTTTGGATGATGTAGACGTGAATTATTACAGCTACTACTCACAGGCAGAGGGACTCACTGCTCATTTTGAACTGGTTTGGATGTGAGAACACCATTTTTTACTGTTGAGACATCACTTCAGATTGTGAGCCAGTTTGGCCACATTCATGTGGATGCACGTTTTGATGCGTGCACATGCGTCGGACTCCAGCTGGTGGACTCAGCAGATAAAGGATGATTCTGGGGTCCATCACTGAGAGCTTATTCATCTTCCTTTGGGGGGGGTGATGTGTCATCTTAAATAATTGAGTAACAAGTGCCCAGAGCTCCCCTTTCTCTCTCTCTCACTGTCTCTCTCTCTTTTTGTATCATGCCTAACATCTGCGCTCGGAGCGCTCCAAGTCTGTCATGGCACAACTTGTCTCAGATGGGTTCTTTGTGGCAGGCTGCAGTGGTGGGAACTAATCAATATTTCAGCCCAAACCAAGTCGGCTCCATCTGTGATTTAATAGATGTGTTCCCAAATCTAACCATCTAATCCCGATCAGAAGTTTACTGTAGCAGCATACAGCCCTGGGAAAAAGTATTTACCCTTCTAGATTTAAAGTATTTTTTTCCTTTTTGTGTCACTATTTCAGATTAGCAAACACACTCCAATGTCAAAACACCCGAGTAAATACAAAATGTAAGGTTCAAATGACTCACAAGCATTCCAAACAAACCACTTTCTACTTTATGTCCCTTTTCTTCTTGTTAAATAATGAATTCTGCCTTACTCCTTAAAGCAGAAATCTGGAGTTTTTTGTAGGCCACCATCTAGAGGCAGTAAATGTAGAAGAGTTGGTCTTGAAGAAGAACGGACGCAAAAGAAAATTAGCACAGATCACTTATCTTTAAGTTACCGTTTCTAAAATCCCAACACCAGAAAACACTGCAGAATTCCATCATATCGCCGATAAGCTCCCTACACCGGAAAAGTATGGAAATCCCCCACAATGACGTAATTCACAGGTTTGTCATTGAAGGCCATATTTTACATAAAGCTGCTCTCTGCTGCTCTTACTGTGGACAGTTTCTGGTGCTGATCAGTGACATCACTCACTCAAGCTGTTAAGCTAACATCTGCAAAGTCCTGAAAGAGCTGAATTTGAATGGAGACACAACAACTGAGAGGACCGGGACATTGTGTCTCCCGCTCAGATTCTCCGTCCCAGAATTGACCCTGAAGTTCTGGCAATGGAAACACGGCTAATGTCTCCAATTTACTTGCATGTTTGGTGTAATATTGGTATTAGCACAAGGTCTGTTTTAGCATACGTAGAAGAATACACATACGGTCCATATGACCACAACATCTAATTTTTAATTTTTATTTTATCTTTTTCTGGCATCTTTGTTCTTCAATTTCTTTCTTAGTAAAAATGTATTTTTAATCTTTTTTATACTTTAATTTGTTTTGTTTTTGTGAAGCACCTTGTGATTTTTATCGTGAGAGGCGCTATATAAAACAGGGTATCTGCAGGTCTTTAAAAAGTCTTAAAAAGTCTTAAATTTGCTTTTCCAAATTGAAGGCCTTAAAAATCCTTAAAAATGACAAAAATCCTTAAATAGAGTTTCCAAAGATCTTAAATTACCAAAGACCCAATAAACAAGATTCTTTTATTTCTATAAAATTTTCGTGATTTTCTAGTTCGTGTTCAGCATTTTTTGTGTATGATATTGGCACAAGCGGAACCGTACACATTCGGTTGGTTGTGAAAGGGGGCTATTTTTAGATGAGCACGCTAGTGGGAGTTTGCGCCATGGGGAAGTGCAACATTAACGGTAACTGGATGGCTAATCCCACGTTTGCGACGTGGTTAGCACCGGTTCCAGGCAATATCTGGAAATTGTAGCTTAAATTTTATTTTAAAAAGTAGCTTAAATTTGGTCCAAGTGGCCTTAAAAAAGGTCTTAAAAAGTCATAAATTTGGCTCCCTTGAACCTGCAGATACCCCGATAAAAGATTGTTTTTTTCATCTTTCTTTTCCTTATTTATTTGAAACGAGCATTGTTGACGTTTTTCTAAATCCATCAGGACTGGCAGTAACCATGCCTGGGTGCAGCTGGTGAAACTGAACTCAGCTTTCCAACTATTGCGTTTATCACACCTAATTCACAATTAAAATTAGTTTTTCGCATAGGGTTTGCGTCGCTACGTTCCCTTAATATTCAAAAACTAAGATTAACTTCTATCGGTTTATAAACCTCTTTAATCCTAAACAGTGAAATTCTTCATTGTTAGACTTATGCGAGCTAAACAAATTGTCCATTTTCTCGTTTCTTGATAACTTTTGAGGTTTTCAGTCTTTAGCCGTCTCAAAGAAAACTTTTGTATCCAGCGGATGCAGAGTCTTGTTTCTGTTTTTAGCCTCCACAAAAGATGATGATGAGGTAAATATATTCTTCTGTTTCACCCTTTTGTGCAGCTTGCCTCTGTTTTTGTGCTTTTGTCTGCGTTTATCGCTCGTGTTAACCCTCGTCTCTTCTTCTTTCACATTCTTATCTGTGTGGATCTGTTCCTATCCACCACCCCCCAGCCCCTGCAGGTACTTATTTAGCAGCTGAAGTGAGAGCAGCTCGAGAACAGAAAGCCCTTCATAAAATACCATCCTCTAAACAAAAAAGTATGTGTTGATAAGCAACTTAATTAATTTTTCTTTGGTTATTTGACTGTATTATGAAATTAGTTTTCCATGGTGCAGCCTCTCATTTGCTTCATTAATTTAGTGGTGGAAATATACAAATTAGATAACTCAAACCATCGCAGCTCTCAAAGTAGATGACAGAAAATTGAATTCCTATAGAGTTGAATCACAACAGTCAATAGTTTCAATAGTAACAAGTTCAGGCTCCCAGAGTAGCACGTTGTGTGGCAGAATTTTCTTTTTGAGTCTCTAATGGAGCGTCTACTATAACTCCCTTTTAATGTTTGTGTTTTCATTCACTTTATTATCTGAAAGGAAACATTAAAAGACTGTTTGTCATCCATGGGATGTACACAACCTTCAAACAGAGGGAAGGTCAGGGCCAATTAGGAGTGGAGGATGTTGGTGGTGAAAAACTGAGAAGATGAGGAAAGGTTGAGTGGGAAACAACAATAACAAACCCTCACGGGACACAGAAGAGTTTAGCTATTTAAGCCCAATTCACGTGGCAGGATAATTGTGCTGATTTTTGACTGCTTCTCTTCATCCAAAAGACTTACCTGATTATCGGGTCTACTGGAGGCGGGTTTACTCCGAGCCCCTCCCAGATGACTGAGATCCTCACCCTATCTCTAAGGGAGAGCCCGGACATGCCACAGAGAAAACTCACTTCGGCTACCTGTATCCTTGACCTCATTCTTTTGGGCAGTACCCAAAACACGAACATAGATCGATCGATAAATCGAAGCTTTGCCTCCGTCTCAGGTTTCTCTTCACTATGACAGATCGTTAAAACGCCAGCATCACTGCAGATCCAGCACCAATCTGGCTGTCAATCTCACGCTCCATTTTTCCCTCAC